CTTTGTAATGTTCTGTAAAGATGAATCATACTTTACTCACCATTACCTATCACTGATAAATTCTGGTTGCTTCCGATTTACATTATTCTAAGTAGCCCCACTATAGACATCTCTGTATGTAAGTCTTTGCTCCACATTTCTGATTCCTTTCCTAGGATACACTCTTTTTTATTTAATTAATTATTTTTTTTTATCATACTTTAGATGAAAGTTTACAGAACAAATAGCTTTTCATTAAACAGTTAGTACACATGTTGTTTTATGACAATGGTTAACAACCCCACAACATGTCAACACTGTCCCTTCTCAACACTGGGTTCCCTATTACCAGCTTTCCTGTCCCCTCCTGCGTTCTAGTCCTTGTTCCTGGACTGTTGTGCCCCATTAGTCTCGTTTTGTTTTACCCCAGAAAGGTATAACAACAAATCAGAGGTAACTGTTATGAATTGAATTGCATCCCCCAAAAATATGTGCTATAAATCCTAACTCCTATACTTGTGGGATGTAATCCCATTTGGGAATAGGGTTTTCTTTGCTATGTTAATGAGGCCATGTCAGTGTAGGGTGTGCCTTAAGCAATCACTTTGGCTGAAGGGTGACACTAGGATACATTCTTCGAAGAACTGGTGGGCCAATAAATAATTGTTAGATGAAAAATTTCTAACAGTTGTTAGGTGAAAAATCTCTATCATTTTTCCTTGTGACTTTGTCCTCTTGTTTTTACGGTTACAAAGTTTCTCCCCCATCTAGAGAACAAATAAATATTCTTTTGTATTTTTTTTTCAGGTTTAATTTTACATTTAACTTGCATATATTTTTAAATTTTGCTTTTATGCATGAGAGGAGCTCTAATTATATTATATCTCCAAATAGCTAACTAATTTTCCAAGCACCATCAATTGAATAAATCATCCATTTCCTACTGATTTTTGTTCCTTCTTTGATACATATGTATAAGTGTGTACGTGTGTATCACAAGATAAACACACCCACACACATTTCTCGCCCTAAAATCCATTTCTGAGCAGACTACTTTTTTCCCACTAGTCTACTGATTTATTCCTTTGTCAGAAGACAGTGAAACTTTGGAGAGAAAAGATAATAGGTTCAATATTAGAACTGCTGAATTTGAGATGCTACTGAATCATTCAGATGGAATCCAGCAGAAAGTTAGAAATGCACATCTGTTACCTGTAAGAGAGACAGCAGCTTTATTGGAGGGTCAATAAGACTACCCAGGAGGACACAGGGAACAAGAAGAGATGAGTGCCAAGGAACGAACCAGGGGAAAACCAACACTTACCAGGTGGGTGGAGGAAAACAGCCATGTGAGAGAGAGCAGCTATGCGTCAGAGGTAGGAAAACAAGCAGGAGAGAAGAGAATAGTATAATCCTTGGGCAGAGAGAGTTTCAAGCATCATCATGAATCATATACACTTTTTGGCTTACATGATATCAAAAAAATAACGTAATGTTCTACTCTAAAGCCTTAGAGACAGAAATGTGCTCTCAGATGATTGGTTTTGTTGTAAGTAGTTACCAGCTGCAGTCAGATTTCAGAGCACTGTTCCACCATCCCCACGGGGCTCAGGGACAGACAACCATCGATCATTCCAGGATATTTTAAATCCATGTACAGGTAAATCACAAGGTTTTGACAAGCTATGTAAGTGGCAATGTTTTATCCTGGTAGTTTTGGTATAATTTGGCTCACATACTAAAATGGGTCCTTTCAAGACAGAAGCATTTCTGTAAAAGAGGCAGGTCAGCTCTATCTAGAGAATAACCCATTTAAGCCACTCAAACCATAAGCCCTGTAGGCTCTGCAGAGGAAAAACAAATCCTAGCTCAGGCAAAAACTGGATCTCTAGCCTTTGTCTGTCATTTGATTAATGGAAGCCAAGCTCTCAAAGCCCAAATATCCCAAATACCTTCACTTGTTCACTGATGTGTTTGTCACTGGGCAAATACCTTCTTCTTCAGTGTGCAACAAGGAAGTCTTCCAAAGCATGTTGATATTTCAGTTATTCTGAATTGTCTGTAATATTTGACCATTTAGGAGAATGGTCTGAAAAGCCTATTTACAGAAAACATGTCTGTCTGCCAACGGGTCTGTTTCTAAATGGGAACTACAATAAATATCCTGCTAGATGTCACAGTCCCAGCTGGAGGAACCCAGAGAGAACTTGGAGCTTGTGCCTAGTCTCTTGACAATGGATTACCAAGTGGAAAAAAAAAAAATTTTAAATCAGAATGCAAAAGGGAGAGTGTTATGATAAACTGCCTTTTTATTTTACCTGACTGGATGTCTATTATTTTACTTCTACTATATCTGAATCTGTCCAAAAAAGAACCTATACATTTATAACTAAAAAAGTGTCCCTTCTCAAAAAATAATCTCTCTACAGATACTGTTAGCCACAAAAAGAGAAAAGAGAGAGAGAGATGCTTACACGTGTCTTCCCCCAGAAAGGTATAACAACAAATCAGAGGTAACTGTTATGGATTGAATTGCATCCCCCAAAATATGCGTCAGAAATTCTAACTCCTATACTTGTGGGATGTAATCCCATTTGGGAATAGGGTTTTCTTTGCTATGTTAATGAGGCCATGTCAGTGTAGGGTGTGCCTTAAGCAATCACTTTTTTGGAATAAAAGAGCAGATTCGGCCCAGAAGAAGGCAGACACAGGGAAGACCTACAATATCTGAAGATGACAGAAGCAGACCAGTCCACAAGGCCAGGAACTCCAAGGATGGCCAGCTAGAGAAGCTGAGACAAGGATTTCCCCCAAGAGTGAACAAAGGGCCTTCCCCTAGAGCTGGTGCCCTGAATTTGGACTTCTAGCCTCCTGAACTGTTAGAAAATAAATTTCTGTTTGTTGAAGCCACCACCACTTGTCGTATTTCTGTTACAGAAGCATGTAAGAAACTAAGACAGTGACCCCACATATAGTTTGCAGGGATGAGAATCTTCCATGAAAAAGAACACAGTAAGGGAAAAGTTCCAAGACAGGGATGCTGCCCCGGCAGAGCCAGTGGCCCAGGTACAACAGATACAATGGAGACACTGCCCATAACCTTCCACTCTGGGCAATGACTCTGCTCTCCAGGCCTGCCAGTGCTCACTTGTATTAAAATGTTGAAGAACATGGAATTCATCCATGACAGTCCACCCCCTCTCCCCCCATCCCCATCACCACCATATATGCATATTCCCTTCAAGAATGGCCCAGGAAACCCACACCCAGTAGATACTATAGGGCCTGGATCTATACTTGTGCTTTTTCTATCTATGGGGTCTAATCAAGGGAACTGGCATATATCACATACGATATTACAAAGTGAAGGTCAATAATGACTATGGTTATTGAAAATGAAGACGTGACCAACAATGGAGACAAAAGTCAACCACAATATGCACTGAGTTAAAATCATTACTCATTTTTACTTAAATACAGAGAATTACTGGGTCCAATATACCCATTAGCAAGATTTTTAGCATATATTTTCAAATACTTGGCTGAGTTTTGAAGGATGGAAGGAAAAATGTAAATATTTGAGTTAATAAATAGCCAGTCTATCCTCATCATTCACAATTCCATATTTGCAAATTCACCTACTCGCTAAAATCAATACTTACGATGCTTTCATTCACTCATGAACGTGCACGGTGCAGCGAAAAATTTGAGTCACCTGCTGAGTACGCTCCCAGCTGAGGTACAGCACGACAATGCTTCCTGTTTCAAATGGCCACCTCACGGTCTATTTAGTGCCACATTTTTCAAATTTTTTGTGGGTTTTGTCGGTTACTTCACTGTTTAAAATGGCCCCCAAGCTTATCATGGAAGTCCTGTCTAGTGTTCCTAAGTGCAAGAAGGCTGTGACAAGCCTTATGGAGAAAATACGTACATTAGGTAAGCTTCGTTCAGGTGTGAGTTATAATGCTGTTGGCTGTGAGTTCAATGTTAATGAATCAATGATATATATTAAATAAGGTGTCTTTAAATAGAAACACACATAAAACAAGGCTATGTATTTGATCAGTTGATGAAAATGTCATGATCAGAAGCTTGTAGGAATCTAACCTCGTGTGTTTCCTCTAGAAGCAATGGTTCAGTATTTGCAAATTCAGTGTTCATGGCGATTTTATACAGCATAACTACCACAAATAACAAGAATCAACTGTATATCTAATTTTAACCCAATACTTCCTTTGACTAGACTTTGCCTCTTTTGTTTATCTGCCTAATTAACTCTTACTTGGTTTCTCAGAGGAGCCCTGGTGGCGCAGTGGTTACAGCGATTGGTGGCTAACCGAAAGGTCGGCAGTTCAAACTCACCAGCTGCTCCATAGAAGAAAGATGTGGCAGCCTCCTTCGAAAAGATTTACAGCCTTGGAAACCCGATGGAGCAGTTCTACTCATAGGGTCACTATGAGTCGGAATCAACTTAATGGCAGTGGTTTGGGTTTGGGTGGTTCCTCAGATAGCTTACACTCCATCTCCTCCAGGAACACTTCCTCAGCCATCCACAGCTCCCCCACCTCCAATTTCCCATAATAGTCCTTCCTTTTATTGAATTAGGAGTCCCTCATCTGGGTTTCAAAATCATTCTGTGCATATTAATTTCACAGAAGTAATCACACTGTACTGCATTGGTTTATAAGACGCAACTTCTCCACTAGTCTGTGAATTCCTCAAAGACAAGGATCGTCACTCATTTTTATGTTCCAGTTCTTAACAGTGTCTGGTGTTTAGTAGGCACTCTAAAATGTCTGTGAAACAACTGAAAAAATGTGTGAATGAATGGATGATTTTTGGACTTAGAATTTTAGAGACAGGTCTTAGAAATCATTTAGTGTACCCTGATTCATCCAAAATTCCCTAAACGAATATTTCTTAAGAGTTGTGTCAGGATATTAACACAAGGAAATCATTATCCATGTTCAAGAAAACACAGACATTTTACTAACGAAAATAGGATTAAATAAAAGCCTTACCGGCAAAGTTCCAGGCAGAGATGCATCAAAAAAAGAAACCAAAGAATTTGGAGGTGCTGCAAAGTGGACTTGAGATCCAGAGAAGAGTTTAGAGTTGGAAGAAATCTGTGCATGAATTTCCAAACCTACCACAGCTGCCCATTCGTGTTCACTAAAGAAAAAGATAAATGGTTAAGAAGTAGTTGTGCATGAATTTCTATGAGCCTAAAGCCCAAATACTAATTTCCTACTTGTGTTTTTAACTTACTAAAATTTTATATCTTTACATTAAAAATGTGTTCTATTTTAATGGTGACTAAATAGAAAACAAGTCATAATGAACACCCTGCAACAAGACTGGCAAAATAAAATTCATTTACAATTTGGCATTAGGAGAGTTCACTGTACAAACAGAAAGGTGATAGAGAACGGAACAATTTTGCATCTTAAAACAATTTAGAAATGGGTATCAGGTGACAAGTGCTTGGTTGACTTCAGGGAAAAGCAGCATTTGTAAACTACCTGTCCCTTATCAACTAATCACTTGGTAAATGAAGAAAACTGATCTTGTGAACATTATTTAGAATTAACATAAACATCAAGATTCTACTATTACAGGAATAACAGTAAATAAATCATTCCACATCTCATTATTAAAAAAGGAAATTCTCTATCTTGTTGTGAATACATTTTATAACAATAGCTTGCAAATACAATTACCAGAATGACTCAGCTATAACAGATTACCTCTAAATGGTACTCCTCCAGGAATTCTGTGCCTAGAAAACATTAAACCATTGGATGTGGCATTTTTTTGGTCCCCAAAATAATTTTCACTTCCTTAGATCGAATTTCAGGTTCCTTTGCTTATTTGCTCAGATTTGACTGCTATCAAATCTAAGGAGCTGTTAAATGCTATAATAATCTTATTTGGCCACTCCTACTCTGTTGAGTCTGCACCGTTCATTCCATACACAGGTCTCTCCAGGTTCTTTTAAGTGTGCTTATTCCCTCTGAAACTCATATATGCTGGGTAATCTCCAGATGGTCTGTTTACACATACTTTGTTTTTATTTTGTCTGTTCCTACCATGCTCTTCTCCCAAGCAACTTTCTGTCCTATCTAGATTTTTGTTTACATGTATTGAGTTTTGTTATCATCATTTCAACACATGAAACTCTACATGTAGTATTGTGTATAGTGTATATAGTGTAGAATTGCAAGAAGATGAATTCCTTCTTTTTAAAGTATGGAAATACAGCCTTTAACTGAGGGAAGTTAAACTAAGGGTTTATCAGAAATTCTGCATTCACTGAAGTATTATTCAAAGTATTTTCACAGTTACATTGCATGACAGAAAAAAGTATTTTCCATTCACAGTGAGATAATCTGAGATTTATGAAAAGAATAGAAACTGACTACTTCAGGATATTTCCTCTATCTCAAAGGATAAACAAAATATTAGAAACATGTCTTATGTTTCTGTACTTAAAAACATTTGACTTATATAATGAAGCATAAACAGTTGTCCAGAGGACATCTAACAAAATAAGCAAAACTTTCTACATTAAGAGGGAAAATCTCTTCCATTTGCTACATTCGCCTAGGTCTAGACACACGTTCAAAATAAATCACCTCCATAAATAGCTAGTGTTTTCTGACTAATGACATTAAGCCACCACTATGCAGCCCTTGGTTTCCAAGGCTGGTGGTACAGTGATTAAGAGCTGGGCTGCTAACCAAAAGACTGAATCCAAAAGTCGGAATCGACTCCACGGCAACGGATTTTTTTGTTTTGGTTTAATCTTAGGGAAGTAGACTACCACGGCTTTCCTCCGTGGAGCGGCTGGCCTTTCTGTTTACAGCCAAGTGCTTTAACCACTGTACCACCTGGGCTCCATTAAGTGCTGGATTAAAAAAAAAAAAAACAAAACACGAACCCTTTGCTATCAAGTAGATTCCGACTCATCGCGACCCTGTAGGACAGGGAAGAACTGCCCCACAGGGTTTCCAAGGAGCGGCTGGTTGGTGGATTCGAACTGCCGACGTTTTGGTTAGCAACCCTAGCGCTTAATCACTAAACCACCAGGGATCCCCCTAAAAATTACAGCCTTGGAAACCCTGTGGAGCAGTTCTACTCTGTCTTACTGGATCACTATGAGTCGTAATCGACTGGACGGATTTGGCTTTTGGTTTTTTATCCAGAGCTTATACTAAAGGCTCCCTTTCTACCTTTGGAACAGTGCTGGCCGACAGTAGCGCTAACTCATGTCAGCTGAATATAATGCCTCTTCAAGTGTCACCGACTTCGCGGCTAATGGTAAGGTGACTGGATCTACTCTTCTATCTGTACTTCCTTGGATTCAAGGACCCACTTGCGATTATACACTCGTGAGTTCCCGATAACGCCTATCTCTATGAAGACAGTGATTTTATGTGTGTGGGCGCGGCTGACAGAGGCCCAGTTTTGTGTTTTCATTTAGGTTTCAAGGCTCCAAATTACAGCCCAACATCCTCCCGCCCACCAAAACATACAGACAAAAGGCTCGACTATAGTGGCCACTATCTCCCCAGTCCCGCAGTTCCATCTAACTCTTCGGTGGGCTGTAACGGTATGAAATAGTATACCCTTTCCTCGGCTTCTGGGCTGTGATTAGTGGCTGCGGAGCCATTGAGCTCTGTCCCTTCATCCCGCTGAGCGTGAAATCATTCGGAGCGCCTAGTCCATGGCAAGAACCGCCGTCAACATAGGCTAAAGCCCAACGTCTTCCCGCACAGCCCCAGCGAAGCATGTGCGCCGCCATTGCACCGCCAGAGTTTTGGTCAGGTGACACAGTCGCCGTCTACCGCGAGGCTTCCTGGGAGGCGTAGTTCTAGAAATGTGTAAAAACGCTAAAGGCTCGGACCGGAAGACTACTACTTCCGGCGAGCATTGCGACCCGAAGGTGGCCGGAAACCTGTCTGGGAGGGTAGGAAAGGAGAACTAGAGGAGAGGATAGGAAGGTTTGTGGGGCGGGAGGTGTGACTCCTCCTAGCGGGGGATTGGAGAGTTTTGTGAGTATGTGTGTGAGTTTTGAGTGTAAACGCTTGGTGTCTGAGATCGGATGCTGAGAAGCGTGGCCGGGATATTATGACCCAGTTTACCTTGCGATGTAAAAGACCTTGACATCTCCGTGAGGACTTCCTGGATCGCCAAACACCCACAATTATTTTCTCGGTCAACGCACTTCACACACCTTTGGGCATTAGTTCAACAAGTACTTTTTTGCATGCCTACTATACGCCGGGCACAGTTTTTAGGCCCTGGGGATACAGCTGTGAGCAAGACAGTCATGGCTCATAGGCTCATGGAGCTCACTTTCTAGGGAAAGGAGACATGCAAAAAAGAAGTTAGCAAAATAAGATAATTTCATATAGGCAGTAAATACTATATTTAACCAGAGGTGCTTGGAGGCAAGTCGTTCTAGACAGAACCTTCAGATACGTTTTTACTTACTCTCCTGTTTGTTCTTGGCCAGTATCTAAACCATTCTCCTTAAGTGTGATGAAATCTAAGCAGATACTATTACTCCAGCAGACTTATTTTCCTGCTTCAAAACTAACATCCCATGTTGAAACTCCCACGAATTTTCTTGTTTTTGACATGCAATCTAAAATACCCGTTCAACCATTCTCTATTATATCAGCCTATTTAATTCTCCCGTTAGTACTTATGACTGTCTGATGTTTATCTTCTGTCTCCATAAGCTCCATTACAGTGGGGACCTTGTATGTCTTATTTAACACAGTATTCCCTGAGCACAAAGTAAGCCTCTAAAAAATACTAGTTGAATGAAGTAGCTTGTTGTGGAGAATGCATTTGACCAAGGATGGAATGGAGGAATTCAGTAGTTCTGTATTTTTACACAAACGTGATTGTTTGCTGGCTGCGCCCCCCCCCCCACCCCACTGTGAGCACCCTCACAAGCAACACCATGCCAATCCTCTTCAATATATTGCTGAAAAATAAAATAAAATAACATACGGCACTTACGGGTGGGGAGGGTGCAGCGACGGAAGGTGTCATTATTTGCATAAAAATACTATAGTAGTTCTGGAGAGAGGTGATGAATTAGGGGTTAGTGGAGGCAAAGAGAAATAGACCAATTTTAGTAGATTTAGGGAGTAAGGCTGAAAGACTTGGTGATGGATTGGATATGGTGGTGAGATACTAGGAGGGTCAACTAACTCCTGGATTTCTGGCTTGCACACCGGGGTGGCTGATGGAGCTCTTCACTGAGGTAAGAAAACCATAAAAGGGCCAGACTTTCAGGGTTGCCTTGGAGACATCCAAGAAGATCACCAGTCAAGTAAGGATCATTGATGCTTAACTCTGACTATGGAGCAGAGGAAAAAGCAGCATACTCTGCATTCTTCACACCAATAGGTTAGTAGTTACTGATCAATAACCTATTGATTAACTAATGATTCATTTCCATTAATACTCTTGTGCAGTTATATTATAAAATTTAATCTATAAACAAGGTGGCAATTTTTAGGTACCCTACTTAAAATTGTCATTATTTACTTTTTCTATCTTTTCTCTTTTTTCATCCACTATCACTGATCCAAATCGCTACAGCAGAAGTTTTTCACATGGCCAAGAATGAAAATGAGAGAAATGACAGAGAGTGGAAAGTTGAGGTGAAGACTTGTTCCAAAATTTACCTCTAATTATTGCCCTTCATATCAGGCCCGGATCATTCTTTAGACCCTTTACAAGTTTTTCTCCACTGAAATTCTGTGTTTACCACCTTTAGGTAAACCTGCCTTCTCTTCCTCATTTAACTCCTCGGGTTGTTCTGGCCCAACTTGGGGTCAGGAGAGTTGCCTCTGAGCAGAGCATGTTCTGCCTTTGATAAGAGTGGAAGAGAGGGGGAATCCTGTATATCAAAAGTGAACATGGGCACTGTCATGGATTGAATTGTGTCCCCCAAAAAATGTGTGTAGCAACTTGGTTAGGTCATGATTCCCAGTATTGTATGATTGTGTTATCTGATGTGATTTCCTTGTGTGTTGTAAACTCTACCAGTATGATGAGATTATACGTGATCTCCTCATGTGTTGTAAATTCTGTCACTGTGATGAGGTTATACTGATGAGATTGGCAAGATTAGTGTCTTAATGCAATCTCTTTTGAGATATAAAAGAGAGAAGTGAGCAGAGACACATGGAAACCTCATACCCCCAAGAAAGCAGTGCTGGGAGCAGAGTGCATCCTTTGGACCTGAGGTTCCTGTGCAGAGAAGCTCCCAGACCAAAAGAAGACTGATGACATGGACTTTCCTCCAGAGCCAATGGAGAAAGCGTTCTCCTGGAGCTGATGCCCTGAATTTGGACTTGTAGCCTTTTGGACTGAGAGAATAAATTTCTCTTTATTAAAACCATCTCCTTGTGGTGTTCCTGTTAGAGCAGCACTACATGACTAAGACAGGCACCCTCTAGCCAAAAGGAGAGGGAGGTCCATTTTACCTTACCACTGGTAATCTGCACACTTAGGAGGCCATTCACTCCCTAACACAGGGGGGCTGGCGGTGTTGTAAGAACCACTTAAGAGAGAGCAACACACCCAAGGAAAATCCTAATTTATGGGCAAAATGCACTATAATGGAAACTCATCTTTGTTTATGAAGAACATTATGCAGCATACAGGATACCATTTCAAAGGGCCCCACCCCACCACTAGAGGGAGATAAAATCCTATGCATGTCAGTGTATTTGAGTCCTTTGACAAGCAGAAGCTCTTCAATTCAATGCATCTTACCTTTAATCATGACCCTTTCAAAATCCCACAAGAGCTAATGGAGGAAATAGGGATTGTCATCGATTTCCCTGGCTTCCCCTTCCCCCAAGATTATCTGTCATTTCCAGAAATTCCTGTTGGTTTCCTTCTGCTTGGTCTGGTGTTCATGAGTGCACTGTTTTCTGACACCCCTCCGGCCTGGCCGGTCAGGTGCTGCCCCTGACCCTCCTTCCCTGGGACCATTTCTCACCTTCCTCCTGCATGTCAAGTCTGATACCTGTCAGAATGCTTACAGATAGCTCTCTAGCAGAGAGAGCTATTTTGGTTCCACTGAAAAGGTGGCTGTCATCTGGAAGACACAGAGACTTTCATTGTCAAGGTGCTCAGGAGGTAGTAGGACAGGGTTTCCAGTAAAAACATTTTCTTAGGGAGAGTCTCTCAGCTCTAATTTTATCCACATAATTCACACAGTACAAATAGTTTTAGAGTAAGTTTTTTAAAAGTTACGGAAGCCAGAGATGAATTTTGAGTTGTTACTTACGAATGGCAATAGTTTGGAAGGATGTCTAAATCAGTGTGTTGGTTTTTGTTTAGTATTCTTCAGAGACTCGTGGAATGTTACAGTTGGAACTGACTGGCTCACTTCTATATTTGACTCAAAATCCCCAGGTACCTAGATAAATGCATTGATTTCTGAACACAAATCATTTTTTCCCCAAAATCTGAGTTGTGTTTAACTGCAGTCGCTCCCTTTCATATCCTTTCACTGATGTGGGGTAGGAGATGATAAGGTAAATATGGTGTTCTAGGAATTACAACTCCTTCAGTAACCTGGGTACAATTTGAGAGAATAATACAAGTAGTTCTAAGCTTCCATTTAAAAAAATGCAGTAAATAAATGGAAACATTAAGATTTCAAATAAAAGTAAAGGAGATACCTTCCACTATTCATTTTAATAATGTATCACGGCAGTGTTATCTGAAAATCTATTTGTATACGTTTTTTAATCTTAAAATTACGTTAACTAACCTATTCTTTGTTTAACTGCCTTTGTCCTGTGGAAACAAAGTCAATGCTTTAATAAAGTCTAGTAGACTAATAAAAAGGAGTCCTGGTGGCACAATGATTACACGCTCTGCCGCTAACCGAAAAGTCAACAGTTGGAACCCACCAGCCGCTCAGTGGTAGAAGATGTGGCAGTCTGCTTCCGTAAGGATTTACAGTGTTGGAAACTGTATGGGGCACTTATACTCTGTCCTGTGGAGATGCTATGAGTCGGAATTGTCTCGACGGTACACAACAACAACAGACTAATAAAACAAAATGCTCCTTGCAGTCCAACAGAGCTGAATGTGGGTGATTATCTCAGTATTTCTTAACATATTTCTGATGAGATCACGGTTGAGGGTTTGAGCCCTCTGTAGGACTGTAGTTTCTCTCTGTTCTCTGGCTTCTAAGTCTATAGAACTCAGCCAGCTGCCTTGAAATTTTATGCCTTGTGGGTAGGGAGGGAGGGTCAGTGTGAGTTCTCTTTAAAAACACACACACAAAGGAGTCCAACTGAAAATGGTGTACATATGGTGAACATTGATAACGTTTTCACATAGGAGGAACACTGGAACTAGAGAAGGTCCTGTTTTTGAAAAAGCATTCTGAAAATGTAAAGTTTCTCCTTAGAAAATCTACATTTCAAGATACAGCTAAGTGTCATTAGAGGGGAAAAGAAAGAGTGCATGCCTGCTGGCCAATGGGGAGGAAAAGATTCATTTCCTTTTATTTTACCGTTAAAGTCTTGATTCTGATAAAATACTGATGCGGAGGGAACAATTGCTTTCTCCAGAAGATTGCTTTGAGGCAAAGAAATCTATAGCGTTTTCTTCCTTTCCAATGCAGGGAAATAGAACATCCTGTCCAGTGTCTCTGTAGAGATGAGGTACCATCTAGGGACGATGAAGCCAGTATTTAGCTGCTGTTAGGCTTCCTGCCCCATACACTCTAATCTCTCTATGGTCTTCCCTCTTCTATCTGGTCTCAAGGGATAGTTTAC